CCCCCCCCCCCACCGGCACCCCTTGGCCACCGCCACCCAGGGACGCTCCGGACGCAGGCCCACCAGGGGGACTTCGTCTGTGTGGAGTGCGGGAAGTGCTTCCCGCAGCCCAGCCACCTGCGGGCGCACATGCGGGCTCACTCAGGTAGGCTCCCGGCCCCGCCCCCGGCCCCCCGCCCCGCTGTCCTGTGGGCCCTGGCGTGTCCTCTCGGGGGTTCACTCTCCAGTCCTTGGCGTCAGCATGGTCCCTGGGGTGCGGGTGATGCCTCCCCTTCTGTGGTTATGCCCATCCTCTCCCGTGCAGCCCTGAGACGGTGTTTTCTTTGCATTGTGCCCTGTGGTTTAATTTGAGATAAGCCCGTTTGCAAATGTCCCATTTTAATTAGAGTAGACGCCTCCTAAATGAATATGCTAATGGGCTGCGGTGCCTCCAGCGACAGGAAATCAAAGCCGCCTCAGTGAGACACCCGCTGGGTCCTCACCGGCCCCTCAGGAGCCCGTCGTGAGGCCCCAGAGGCTCTTGGGCAGGCGCTGCCTGAGACCCCGTCAGGTGGAGAGCCCTGTGTCACCCACGGGGAGAGGGAGGCTGGCGGGGTTGTCCTCAGAACTGTGAAGGATCACGCGTGAGCCAGTCTGATGCGAAATGACAGGGGCCAAATGGTAAGTGAGGCAGGAGGAGGGTCCCTTCCCACGCTGGTAATTAACATTGTCAGCCTCGGCTTGCCTCTCGGCCGCGTCTGAATTAAAAAGGGCAGGGGCCCCAGGCGGCATCGCCCTCTCTCTCCGCGAGTGTGGCAGCAAATTGGTCTTTTCCAGCGGCAGGCCGGGCGCTGGTGTCTTTTTCATGAAAGCGCCTGATCTGTAATGGCCCCGATTCCCGGGGCGCCGGAGGCTCCCGCCTGCTCGCTCACACACCCCTTGTCCCCACAGTGGTGTTTGACTCCAACGGCCTCCGAGGTGCTGACGTCCACGCCGCCTCCACGGATGCCCCCAAACAAGTAGGTCTTCTGACGGGAGTGGTGGGAGGCTGGGGTGGCGGGGAGGTAGCGGGAACGTGAGCCACGGCGCTCGTCACGGAGCCACAGGGCTCTCGCGGGACAAGTGTTCAGGCCCCTTCACCCTGCAGACACCTGCCCGGGGCCGGACGTGGAGCCCGGCCTGCAGGACCACCCAGCCCCCGGCGGCTGGAAACCGGAGGGTGGTTCCAGCTGCTCACGGTCTTGGAGAGACGGGTGGGGACCGGAGACCCCAGGCGTTCACACACTCACCCTGGGTGTTTTTATGTGTATTTTCATGAGAAGAGATTATGCTCAGTCTCCTCTCTCTAGAGCTGTTTTTTCTCCATGTCCTGCACGTCACACACAGCCGTGGCCCTGCACACGTGGCCTGTGTACGCGCACCGTTCAGTGTCCGCACAGCCCGGCGGACTCGCGGAACCGGCGCATGGGGACTGCGAGCCTCGCCCTGCAGCGGGGACACACCTGCCACCGGCGCTGTCCCTCAGGTCATCCTGGGCTGACGGCACGTGGTTCCAGGGCTCCCCTTCCCTTTGTCCCTCCTACAGCACGTCACTGCCGCCTCCCCACCTCCCACCAGTATCTTCTTTCGGGTTCTTGCCCTAGAACATCCGTAAGTGCAGACGCTCTGCTGTGGGTGTGTTTATACCAGGTGGACATCAGGCCTCCGGGTGGTGAGGCGGAGTTAGGGTGCCCCGCCTGGCGAACGTACCCCTTGGAGGGACCCTGCTTGCTGACGAGGGTGATGGGGACGTCGGAGGGACCCCGGGCACCCCCTGGTCTGTCTCTGGGAGAGAATGGTGAGAGGCGACGTGGCCTTGCCCAGGGCCTCCTGTGAATTAGTGATCACCCTTCCCTAGGACAGAAGTTACCTGGCCGGCGACTTCCTTTGTGTATGTTTATTTTTATTGCACGTTTAGAATTCCTGTTGTTGTCCAAGGCCTGTCTTCCTGTGTCATTGACAAGATGCTTTGCTGTCTGTTACCTTGTTTTACTAAGTGACTTTGCTCTCGATAAAAACCATAGTTTCAGAATGTCAAGTAGTTATTTCACGATGCTGCTGTGACAATCCATGAAATAACAGCCCCGCTGAATGCGGAATTAGAAGACTCCCGGACACGGGTGACCTCGGCCGCACGCCCGGGCCTTCTTAACAGAAATCAGCCCTGTGACAAGAGCCACCAGTGCGCCTGTGGGCGCGTCCCAGCGAGGTCGCGCCGTAATTGGAGAATTACACAGTGAGATCCCCCCCCCCCTAGTCAGGCTGCAGGGTCCTGCGCGCACCGGTGACCCATTAAGTCCACCCGAGACGCGGCTTTTCCATGTGTGTGTGACGGGCGGGAGCCCGGGCAGATGTGACTAGCGCAGGGAGCGTCTCGGGGACGCGCATCCGTCCGGCTGCCGCTTATTAATTCTGCCGGAGCCTCTCCCGTGCTTCTGTGGTGGGGAGAAGAGCTCGGCCACGCCAGCCGCCCCGACACAGTTTTGCAGGGAATTGGCAACATGTTATCAGCCTGGAGCTGCGGGAGAAACGATTACANGCCACGCCAGCCGCCCCGACACAGTTTTGCAGGGAATTGGCAACATGTTACTCAGCCTGGAGCTGCCGGAGAAACGATTACATTGTATCACCAACGATTACGTTGTATCGCTGTCTGGTGCTCGGCCCGCGGAGCTCGAGAGGCTGAGCCCTGCTGGAGGCCCTCGGCGGCCAGCTGACCCGTCTCAGGCCGGCGACGCGCACGCTGAGCTGGGTTCACGGCCTCCCACGCGGGGAGCTGGCGCGCTCGCCGCTGTGTCCCGGTCCTTCCGTGCGTGGGAGGCAGCGGTTGGCTGTTCTCGGGACGTGTCCGGTTCTCCAAGGAAACGCCGTTTTCCTGACCGCGCGTGGGGTTGAAGTGCCTGCCGGGCTGCCTGAGCCGGACGACGCCAGGGGAGGGTCAGCCTTGGGCTGTGTCCCTCCCCGCAGCTCCCACGGTTTGCCGACGCCGCGGCTGCTGAGGGCACGTCTTAGGTTCAGAGCGCAGCTCTGTGGCTGTTTGTGTCCGGGACAGGACGCCTTGTCGCCCAGGCCTTTTTTCGTGGTTAGTGTGCGTGAGCAGCATTAACTCGTGAATGTTTAAATCGGATTCTTTCCCTGGGGGCTTTAGAAGCTGTGGCTTATGGGCTTAAAAACAAACAAACATATAACACCGTGTATTCCTGCAGAAATTACTGGGTGACTCCTAACACTGACGGACTTTTATAGAGACACACGCTAGATGCCAAATTACGCAATTGAAACGATGTTTGGGAATCCAGTTTTACAGGAATCGCTTATTCACTCACTAACATCATTTCTTGAGTACCTGCGATGTGATGTGCCAGGCTCTGTAATATTGGGGTGACAATTAGACATTGGGGAGACGTCCTTTTTCCCAGCTTTTACGGCTTTTAAGGTCATTGGGTGGTTCAGACAAGGAGACGCGACGAGCGTCCCAGAGCCTGGACTCTGGATGGCCGTGCGGGGGTCAGAAGTGGGACAGGAGCCCTGGCTGGTGTGGCTCAGTGGTTAGAGCGTCGGCCTGCAGACGAGGGGCCGTGGGCTTGATTCCCAGTCAAGGTTCGTTCCTGGCCCCAGCTGGGGCGCGTGTGGGAGGCAACCAATTGATGTTTCTCTCTCTCTCCCCCTCCCTCCCTCCCTTCCACTTTCTCTAAAGAAAAAATAACCAGTGGAAAGATATTGGCAGGGAAGGATTAACAACAACAAAAGCCAAGAATGATTAAGGTTAAAAAAATGCCTCAATAATTATAAAAATTTTAAAAAAACATTAAAAAAAAAAGTGGTACAGGAGCTGGAGGGACCCAGGTGTTGGTCCGTGTGCTGAAGTGCGTGGGTTTCGCCCGAGGGCAGAGCCGAGCCCGGAGCCGGGGCACCATCCTCGCCGTCGGGTTTGGAAGGATGTCGGTGGAGGGGTGGAGGTGGTTCTGGACGGTCGGTGGAGCACAGCTGTGCAGGAGCTTGGGGATCCCAGTGAGGGACAGGCGGCCGGTTTGGGGTGGGGCCCTGGGGCCCAGCCGTGGAGCCTGTGGCGCAGTCGGTGTCTGCGCTCCGGGGTCGCATCCTCGCGCGTTGCTGTGAAAGAGCTGGTGCCCCGGAGGTGAGGCTCCGTATTTACATGGAGCATCTGTAGCTGTGGGGGTCATTCTTCCAGTTCTTGGCATGAAGGCTGTCATTATTTATACTTGTTTTTCTATTTTTAAATAAATTTTAAAATTGATTTGAGAGAGAGAGGAAGGGGGGAGAGAGAGAAACATCCGTGAGAAACATCCACCACCTGCCTCCCGCACGCCCCTCACTGGGGATCGAGCCCGCGACCCGGGCCTGCGCCCTGGCCGGGAATCGGACGGTGACCGTCCAGTTCACGGGTTGATGTTCGCGGAGCCACACGGGTTTTGACGATAATTCTGATCACAAAGGTAGCTAAGAGTCCTAGCAAAATTCTACACGCGAGGAGCAGTTTGTGCCCATTGTTGCTTTGCAGGTGCTCTGTCGTGTGCTTGGCACGATCGATTTCTAGTCATCAATATTCATCGTTAGAAGATATTTTGAAAATAATATGCTGAAAAGTGGGTGTCATTGTCCTATGACATTCAGAAAAACCCAAAAAACTAGAAGGGCTTTCTCAGTGTTGTGGAGAAGTGGTTTTTCCGGTATATGGTTGTGAAACATTAGAAATTAAAGTTTAAAACCAAGAAGCATTAACCCTCTCTCCCTACCCCCCGGTCTGGGCATTTAAAAGACCAGACTGATTTTTTTGCTGAAATAAGAAAACGAGTTTTATTGAGATTCTTGGTCAAAGTTTAAAGACTGTGATTAATAGTTTATTTCTTATTATTCTAAGTGTTTAAAACAGTTAAGCTGCAGAAATAATTCCAGTAACCTAACAGGAAGCGAGGAAACGGTGGCGGCCTGACTTGTTTCAGCCGCGGCTGTTACAGCTCCGGCGACGGGCCTCCCGTAGGTCGGGGCCTTCGGACGTGGGCGCGGCCTCCTTTCAGCATCGCCGGGAGGTCCTCCCCCAGGCCCAGGTCCGCAATTCAGCTCGTTGCTCTCGGCTTTATTTCTGTTACTACTTCTCGTTAATCTTCACCCGCTCGGGTCAGACGGACCGCGTGGGGCTGTGCTGCGCTCTGCGTGGCCCCCACGTCCAGCCCGGCTCGGGAACTGTCCCCGCGTGTGCATCTGGTTTGTGCTACAGAATTTTGCTTTTCTGAGCCCTCCCGGCCCCGTCTTGCCACCGGGTTGGCCGTTTCCCCGGAGCGGGTGCTGCTCTCACGGAGACAGAGGAGTCTGACCATCTAGGTTGCAGGGAAGGCTCGTCTGAAGCTGCTTCTGGGAGGCAGGACAGTGTGTTTAAAACGCCCTGTCCGGGNGGTCGGGGCCTTCGGACGTGGGCGCGGCCTCCTTTCAGCATCGCCGGGAGGTCCTCCCCCAGGCCCAGGTCCGCAATTCAGCTCGTTGCTCTCGGCTTTATTTCTGTTACTACTTCTCGTTAATCTTCACCCGCTCGGGTCAGACGGACCGCGTGGGGCTGTGCTGCGCTCTGCGTGGCCCCCACGTCCAGCCCGGCTCGGGAACTGTCCCCGCGTGTGCATCTGGTTTGTGCTACAGAATTTTGCTTTTCTGAGCCCTCCCGGCCCCGTCTTGCCACCGGGTTGGCCGTTTCCCCGGAGCGGGTGCTGCTCTCACGGAGACAGAGGAGTCTGACCATCTAGGTTGCAGGGAAGGCTCGTCTGAAGCTGCTTCTGGGAGGCAGGACAGTGTGTTTAAAACGCCCTGCCCGGCCGGGCGTGGCTCAGCGGTTGAGCGTCGACCTGGGATCCAGGCGATCGGGGTTCCATTCCCGGTCAGGGCACATGCCCGGGTTGCGGGCTCGATCAATGACTCATCATTGCTGTTTCTCTCTCCCTCTCCTTTCCTTTCTCTGAAATCAATAAAGATATATTTTAAAAAAATAAAAAAAAATAAAAAATAAAACACGTCTCCTCGAGGTTAGGGAGCTGCAGCTAACGTCGGGGTCTCTACCGACCCCGCGAGGTTGCTCCCTGGAGGTCACGTTCTTGGGTGTGGGTACGAAAATTCACAGCAAAGACGCACTTAGAGGCCAAAAGGCGGAAATGAGCTCTTCTGTTCTCTCCTTTTCTCACCCAGGGGAGAGACCATTCTAACCCGGACGCCGTCCAGACAGTGCCTCTCAGAAAGGGGACCTAGAGCCACGCTTCCAGCGACCCCGGTGCCCCCGACGGCCCTTAGCAGCCCCCTCCTGGACGTCCCGGCGGAGACTGACCACCACGCGCGGACGAGCCGCTGAGCCCTCCCACCGACACCCGTGGGGCGAGGCCTCTCCCGGCTGGACACTTAGAAATAAATTAAGATGCTGATCTCTGGAATTCCGTGTAGAGACCCCGCATGCATCCGTGTGCTCACCGATGTGACCCCACATTTCCTGCGATGAACGGTGGCGCTGGCGGGCACTGGGGCGCGCACGTGTGTGCGCTGCTCACGACCGAGTTGGAGACACTGGAAAAGAGCTGCTGGTGCAGCGAAGCCCCCGGGGAGGGCGGGCAGTCAGGCGGGGTGGAGCTCGACAGTGTTACTACTACACGTCCTGTCCAGCTGGTATTTAAGTCACGAAGGGGACAGGAAGGAGGGGGCGCGGTGCTGTGCACACCAGGCGGGCGGGTGGGTGAGACCCTCGCCGGTCCACGGCGCGGTCGCCTCCCCGGGGGGCCCTTTGCATCCCTGTGGCCCCTTTCGCGCCCCCCCCCCCC